CCTTCCTTCCTTCCTTTTCCCTCCCATTTGTCTTCCTTCCTTCTTTCCCCCCTTCCTTCCTTCCTTCCTTCCTTCCTTCCAGTGGTGGGATTCAGCCAGTTCGCACCACTTTGGCAAAACCGGTAGCTAATTTTTTCCTGCCCAGGCCCAGAACGGACTTCCGGAAGTGGCATCCATGCAGAGAACCGGGTGTTCGCATATTTGAATCCCATCACTGCTTACCTGCCTGCCTGCCTGCCTCCTTCCTTCCTTCCTTCCTTCCTTCCTTCCTTCCTTTGTTCTTTTTCCCTCCCATTTGTCTTCCTTCTTTCCCCCCCTTCCATCCACCTGTCTTCCTTCCTTCCTTCCTTCCTTCCTTCCTTCCTTCCTTCCTTCCTTCCTTCCTTCCTTCCTTCCTTCCTTCCTTCCTTCCTAGCGGTGAGATTCCGCCGGTTTGCATCAGTTCGGCAGAACCGGTAGCTAATTTTTTCTTGCCCAGGCCCAAGAACAGACTTCCAGAAGCGGCATCCATACAGAGAACAGGTTGTTCGCATATTTGAATCCCACCCCTAAATACAGGTAGTCCTCGACTTATGACAGTTTTTGTGTAGTGACCATTCAAACTTAACAGCGGCACTGGAAAAAAAGTGCCTTGTGACCGTTTTCCACACTTAAAAACCGTTGCAGCATCTCCGTGATCACGGGATACAAAAATTCAGATGCCTGACAGCTGACTCATATTTATGACAGCCGCAGTATCCCCAAGTCTTGTTGGGGTCCCCTTTTTGTGACCTTCAAAGTCAGTGTGGGAAGCCCGATTGGCTTCACAACCGTGTTACTAACTTCACCACTGCAGCGATTCACTGAACTGTGTCAAGAAGGTTGACACAGATGGGGCAAAACTCACTTGATGGTCTCGGTTAGCAATAGAAATTTTGGACTCCATTGTGGTCGTAAGTCGGGGACTACCTGTGATATCCTTCCTCTTTAAGATGAGAAGATAACAAGACAAGACAGCAGGAGACCTTTTTTTGGGGGGGTACATGGTAGCAGACCTGGGGCATTAGCGCCGTTGCAGACAATGAGACATGGAAACTGCTTACAGTAGCAGGCCAAAATTGTGGAAACCTTTTGGGAAAAGTGTATTTTTGAGGTTTGATGGCTAATAACACCACTTCTTTTTTTTTTGGAGTAGTACCAGAAAATTACATATCAATGGAAAGATAATTGAATCAAGAACGTAATGCAACATAGTTTGTTCAATTACCTGCATTCTATGAAAAGTTATAGCCAAATAAGCAGAATAAGGAAACACAACTTGCTTAGGTTGATCTCAGGTAGCTTTCCTTCACCTGATTGTAGGCAATGAGCACGAGTGTTTAGAGCAGGGCTTTTCAACCTTTTCACCCATTGTACCACTTTTAGGATATGGCAACATCCGAGGACCACCAGTCGCCTAGCAAGGTGTCAAAAACTTGATGACCCCCCCAAAAGAAAAAAAGTGATAAAGTACGGGTAGTCCTCGACTTACAACAGTTCTCTTAGTGACTGTTTGAAGTTACAATGGCACTGAAAAAAGTGCCCCCCGAGCCACAACCGAGCAAGATGTCTGCCTGCCCGCCCGGCTGAGCTCTTCCTCCTGTCCGAGGTTTCCATTGTTGTGAGCATTTCTGTTGAGGATTGGCAGGTGGGGTGGGGGGGTGTTTGGTTTTTATTCCCCCCGTCTGCTGGGTGGTTGCAGCAGGTTTTGGTCACTTCACATGACCCTGGGACACTGTGACTGTCATAAATATAAATCATATGCCAAGCATCTGAATGTCAATCACAAGACCCTGGAGAGGCTGCAACATTCCAGCTGATCGGCACTTCTTCTGGGCTCAGCTGGAGCCTGGTGTTGATCCTGGTGCTTCCGCTGAGCCCTGACAGCCCCGAAGA